ATGCCCAACCCTCTCTTTCTCATGCATCAGTCACCAGACCCCACCGGGACCTGTACACATCAAAGCCTGTCTATGTCCAACCCTGTTCCACACACCAGTCACTGGGCTCCACCTGGATAACCTGACAGCTCTCTAACTGAGCCCCATTCCCATTATGGTCTAATGACCTGTCATGTTTCAGACTTCACCTCCATTCCATTCCATTCCTAATACCTAGTTTGGTGTTTACTCATCTTGTTTCATGATTACTTGTTGTTAAGAACAGAAACTGACTGATGTCGATAGACTGACGGGGACTGAATGGAAGGACTTGGCTTCAGCTTATGTGCTGTGCCCTCACAAGTTACCGTCGGGTGTCCTTAAATTTTGGGCAGGCAGAAACTAGTCCTGTCAAGTAAACCTCTCAGTAAACTACTGATCAGAAACTGAAGGATAAGTCAAGGGTTGGGTCGGAGAGTCTGAGATTAGAGGTTGAAGTCATAAATGTAGCTTGAAGCGTAAATCGGATGGTGTTGGAATGTGGTGGTCGTGAATAGATAACGGAGTTGGAGATCAGAGGGGTATCTAAGTCGATATTCTGATTGTCTAGTAGTTTGTTAAGTGCCGTGTCGGGAACTTATTCCAGAACTATCAGAAAGTCACCGGGAAGTCAGAAACTAGTGGATAGGGTCAGGACGTTGGCTTCAGCTTATGTGCTGCACCTCTACGCAAATGCTCAAAGTCCTTAATTTCGGAAGTAAGGCTTACGATGGAAGATACGGATATTCAGAGTTCTGAAGAGTTCCGAATATCGAGCGTACAGAAAGACGGGAGGAGGAATAAGAAACTAAGTCGATATCAGATCTAAGGTAAAGTACAAATTCACGGAAACTAATATAAGTCTACTCGTTATTGTACTACAAACTAAGACCATAATAAGATGGAAACGGAAGTGTTCTTAAAACGGAAATACAATAAGACATATTAGGGAGACAATATTCCGAAATGGGAATATAACAAACAAACGAGTGAATACTTGTCAACGGACAAATTTCCAAATGCAGAACAAGAGAAGAATGCGGATGATACGGTAACTTTGATGTTCTGTAGTCAGAGATCGGAAGTCGGATATTGAAACATCCGGGAACGGGTCGTAACATAGTTACATTACAGTGGGTCTATATACGAGTTATCAGCATCTATAAACTACTAACTAAGGGAAGAGCAGAAACATGATTGACAAATAAACTTGACTAGGAACTGGTAGGTTATGATAATATTGGGAGCTGTGATTTAGCCGAGAGTGGGATTACGAGAAAAGGGAATAGTCCACAGGCTACAAGTATATACGGGCATATGTGAAACATAGAGTAAAACAGATCATCATAATGAAAAGGTGAACTGAAAACTGACTAATGTTGGTAGGCCGATGGGGACCGACCAGAAGGACTTGGCTTCAGCTTATGTGCTGCACCCTCGCAACTTTCTGTCGGGTGTCCTTAAATTTCGGACGGGTGAAGACTAGTCCTAATTAATACCTCTCGGCGAGACTACTGATCGGAACCAAAGGATAAGTCGAGTGTCGGGCCAAGGGATTGGAGACCGAGAGTGGGCAAGCGCACGTGGAGGCAGATAGTGGAGTACTTAGTATGAGACTGCTAAAGGTATAAGAGGATATTCTGAGTCGATATTCTGATTGCCTAGTAACTACAACTACAACAGGCTCATATACAAGTATTTGGCATCTAGGAAATACTAACTAGGAGAAGAGTGGAAAACGGTATTGACAAATAAGCTTGACTAGGAATGGGAAGGTTACAATTAGTTCAGAGGCCATGAGATAACTGAGAGCGGAATTATGAAGAAAGGAAATAGTCCAAGGGTTACAAGTATATATAGACATATGTGAAACATAGAGTAGAATGGATCATCATAATAAAAAGGGACATATCAGAGTTTAACCAGATAGTATGAGTATATTTTGACGGGGGCATAAACAGAGTTTGATCACTGCGAAAGCATACATCAGCATTGGGAAACCAACAGCTTCCGATGTGGGGACTTGAGCAATGACTTGAATCGTCAATAGGTGGCGATAACCTCTGGAACTGTCGGGTTGTGACACGGTCATAACAAAAGGGGATGTATGTATCAAAGCATAACCAGATGGTACGAGTATATTTTGACAGGGGCATAAACAGGGTTTGATTGCCGTGAAGGTATACGTCAGTGTTGGTGTTCCAATGGTTTCCGAAATGATGACTTGATCAATAACTTGGAACATCAATAGATGGTAGTATTCTTGGGGACCATTGGGTTGCGACACAGTTACAACACAGTTACGACATGGTCGTAACACTTGTTTAGGATTTCATTATTACTGGATTTGGTATAACATACATTCCACAGTCTATATAGTCTGGCAGATGTTGTACATACAATCCAGTCAGAAAATCAGCTTAGATCTCCCCAGTAATCTCAGTATATTTTCCACTCTATTCCTCTCTTTGAAACACACTGCTATTTACCTCGTCAGAGCCCATGGGCTCCGACCTATCTATTGCTTGACCTCCAACCCATCACTGCCCAACCCCTCAACCTCATTGGAGCCTGTGGGCTTCCTGACTGGTCTTTTGTTAGGATATGTACAAGGTGGGTCTCCAGAGAAACCTGCGGGATATCCGGTAGGACTTGGCTTCAGCTTATAGGCTGCGCCCTCACTAGATTGTGTTGTCCAATTTCAGACGGGCAGACGGGAATCCCAGGGAGTCCAGGTGGGGATCATGGGTCAGGTGTCATAGGTTGGAGGTCGTGGGTCGTGAGTCGAGATTGGTGAGAGAGATAGATGTGCCAGAGCCTGTGGGCTCCGACTAGTGTGAGCAGTGTAATTCAAGTAGGAGTTTAGAGTGGAAAATGTATTAGATTACTGGGGGGAATCTAAGCCGATTTTCTGACTGGATTGTATGTACAACATCTGCCAGTTTAAATAGACTGTGGAGTGAATGTCATACCGAATCCAGTAATGATGAAACAAAACAAGCAAAACATAAAATGAGAATAGTAAACACCAAATTGGTGTTAGGAACGGGACGGAACGGAGTGGAGTCTGAATAGTGACAAATCATAAACCATAATGGGAAACAGAGCAGGAGCGGAGTCGGAATCGTGACAGGTCATTTGACTAAAATGGGAATGGGGCTCTGTTAGAGAGGTGATGGGTTTTCTGAGCAGGGTCCAGTGACTGATGCGTGGGATGAGGACAGACATAGACAGAGACAGAGTCCGGTGGGTTTTCCAGTGACTGAAATACAATGTAACGAAGATGAACATAGACAAGTCTGACGTATGGAGTCCGGTGGGAATTTCGGTGAACTGATAATGGGTGCATATAGGGCATGGGTGCGTATAAGTTAATGCCCAGAGTCCGGTGGGATTTCCAGTCGTAACATCTTTTGACCTATCAACCCCTGATCTATCAACTACACCCAGACTCCCCAGGTTTCCAGTTAAATCCAATGATAATCAGTCTGCAATTTGTGTTAGTTGTTTGGACCCATATGTACCCACCTGTGCTTACCATAGCATTATCTGTGTGTTGGCAATCTACCACCACTGGTCATTCAAGTTTGAGTCTACATCTGAGTTTACTCACTCCTGTGACTCATCTACATATTCTAATATTTTGGTTGCCAAAAATGATTATTTTAATGCACACACAAAACACTTAGACATCTGATACCATTTCATTTGAGATGTACATACAGTATTCACAAGAAAACTCATGTACATGTAAATCTAATACTATACATTCCTATGGGTGACAATATTGCTGACATGCTCACCAAAGTGCTTGTCAGACCAAAGACTGAGCACCTATCATACATCCTGGGACTGTGTTCAGCTTAAGGGAGGTATTGAAGTATAAGTATGTATTACATAAGCTACCTTTAGTAGGCTATAATACAGTAAATATAAAGTGACTGTTTAGTTCATCAATATCTTTACTGGTCATCAACAAACTATATGGAATGGTGACTGACCATGTAACCTCTCAGTGAAATTTGCTGTACATATCATTTACTGAGGGGTATGTACACTATTCCTCTATTTTACTATAATAATCATTTATATTTACCCTAGCTATTAATAGAACTGCATGAACATATTTTAACAAGGATGAGACTCATCTACCTATTATGTGCAAGGGTTCTACCTGGATTTTTCAGTGAATATTCCAGATACTAGAAGGATTTGGCTTCAGCTTATGTGCTGCACTCTTGTACACTCATTCAGGTGTCCAATATTTCAAGTTGACAGAATGCCTACATGAGAGATGTAGATACCAGAGTTCTGAGAGAGTTCTAGATATCAAGCATACAGAAAGAACAAAGGAATAGATCAGAGTGAGTTGAGACTAATTCAAGATTCAAACTGGAGAGTAAGTACATGACTGTGGAAGACTATATAGTTGTAATAATTGTATTACAAATCTGAGAGCATAATAAAATAAGTGAAGGAAACTTGTGAGTTAGATAAATGAGGAACAAGGACCAGGACATATCAGGGAATAAGTGGAGGAACAATAAGCAAGCAAATGTATTCAAGGGGTCTTGGTCAGAGATTATTGAAGCATCTAGAGGAACACAGGCAGTCCAACCAGAGTCTGGGTTGGGAAATGACCAAGAACACTTGAAGAAGTTAATGGTTAAAGGGCAGAGTTTGATGAGTTCTAGGTCATAATATGAGGCATCCAGTTGAGGGAGGAATATCCAGCTGGGATCTGAGTTGAAGGGTACTTTAGGGATGATGTCAAGTTCCAGTGGATTCCAGATCCTAACACTCATCCAAAATGTGGTTCAGAAGCTGATAATGTATCTGGAAAATATTCTAAGGAGTTTCAGGGATGGATATTCACACTACCATACTACATAAGAGAGGTTTATGAGTCCCAAGCTGGCATCAGTCAACTGTGACATGTAGAATACACGAGTATGTATCCTCTAAGCAATACTACCAAATAAGGTCCAGTAGCTCAGGTGGCAGAGCACTAGCATATATAGCCAGGTCCTTGGTCCAATACCGTGCTGGGTCAACACTTTTCTATACCTTTAAAATATAGTTCCTAAAACCTGAATACCTGCTGTCTGATTTAATAAATGTCAAGCCTAATACAAGAGAGAGGGATTCTAAATCAACATTTGAACTGGAAAATAGCAGAGTACAAGATAGTGATTCATATTCAATAACAAAAAGGTAACCAGAATCAGAGGGAAATGGAATATGAATATGAATGAGTATGAATGGGAAGCTGGAATGTACAGAAGTCCTCGATATAACATGGTAGGGGCAAACTGTTAGGATCCTATCATTTCAGACCCCTGCAACTTGGTTTTACCCCCATAACCCTCCAGCACCCTGCTATTTGTATCCCTGACCATAATATCACCACCTGCAGCATCCAGACACATGTTTCTCTGTAGATTACCCTTTTAGTGTGAAGGATAGGTCATATAGGAGGCGCGACTAAAGGCTCTAAGCCTAGACCTTAAGCCGCTTTATAATACAATTATTTCATTTTGTTTTATATTTTTTATTCTCTCTTTATCACTCATAAATACGCTTTATTAGTTTGAGAGCCCATGTATGCTTGTGGGCGCTCTCACCCACAAGAAGTATGTGTATGTCACAGTAGTAGTCACACGACAAAAACTTAGACACTTTTCAACCCCGACAACCATCACCTGCACACGCAAGTACTGGTTTGGGGTCTTGTCTAAAAACAAACCTCTACTCTATCTCTCTTCATTGAGTCATAGTAATTACACTTCGCACTGAAGCAGTCGAAGTCTGTTACTACTATTCGACTCAACTTCAAGCTCTTGAACAGCGCGGTAAGAATATCCATCGTAACTAACTTTCTTAGGATATTCTCTCTCCTTTGCACACTATATACTTTCTCTTGTCTATTCGGCCTTCAGCCGCCCAACTAGCTAAACAATCGAATCGTACCGTAAGGTCGATCCATCCTTGTAATTATCTGCCGATCATACCTTAAGGGTCGATCGTAATCTACATCTTAACTACTAGTCAATTGTATTTCGTACTATCGTTAGTCGATAATGATCGTACATTGAGTGGTAAACTACTCGACCCTTTACATTTAGTCATCCTGTTCTATCTCTGTCCCAATGCTCTCCCATCACCCATTCAACATGCATGTTTTATTTGCCACCTTACAACCTTTAGAATACTTGTTTTTCATCACATTTAGTCTTAGATTGTTCCTTGTTCCTTTCCCCACTGTTAAGTACCGTGATGATGAGCGAGTCACAGAATTTGCGAGTCACAGAATTTGCGAGTCACAGAATTCAGATCTGATATACTGTTAAGTACCATGTTGGGAACTTATTCCGGAACTATTGGAAAGTCACTGGGAAGTTGGGAACTATTGGATAGGGTCAGGATGTTGGCTTCAGCTTATGTGCTGCACCTCTACGCAAATGCTCAAAGTCCTTAATTTCAGAGGTGAGACTTATGATGGAAGATATGGATATTCAGAGTTCCGAAGAGTTCCGAATATCGAGCATACAGAAAGACGGAAGAGGGAATAAGAAACTAAGTCGATATCAGATCTAAAGTAAAGTACAAATTCGTGGAAACTAATATAAGTCTTCTCGTTATTGTACTACAAACTAAGACCACAATAAGACGGAAATGGAAGTATTCTGAAATGGGAATACAACAAGACAAATCAGGAAGACAATATTCCGAAATGGGAATATAATAAACAAATGAGTCAATACTTGTCAACGGACAAATTACCAAATGCAGGACAAGAGAAGAATGTGGAAGATACGGTAACTATGATGTTCCGTAGTCAGAGGTCGGAAGTTGGAAGTCAGAGGTCAGAAGTCGGATATTGAAACATCTGGGAACAGGTCATAACAGTACCCCCCTGTTAGACCAAAGTCCCATAGAGGTGATTAGGTACTGAGTGATTGAAGCGACGGCTGATTGTTATGTGTTGTGAAATTTATGCAATTCTGGAGGTGAGAGTTTTGGCTGCTGTTCTGAGTATAAAAACCTCCAAATATTCGAATTAACGATTTTGTTTCTTTATCCACAACTTGCATGTCGATTCATCGGCCATTGTTCACCACTACCCTGGAAGATTCAGACACCAAAATCACCATACTTCAAAAAATGCGGAAGGTCGAAGAACTTCAACAAAAATGACAGAGAATGGAAGAGACGAAGCAACGAGAAGAGGAGGAGGAAAAGGCATTGATGTGGGAGTTGAAGGAAGCTGAAGAAGTGGAAAAACGGGAGTTGGAGCAGGCAAAGGCAGAAAAGGAGGTGTGGATACGGAAGACGGTGGAGGTTCAGAGGAAGAAGGAATAGGCAGAAAGAAAGCAGTGGGAGTCTGAGGCAGCAGAAAAGAGTAAGGAGATAAGGGAGGGAAAGGTAAGTTTAAACCATAAGTTTCCATATTTTCATCTGATAACTATTGGATACAGTGAAAAGCTGTGGAGGTGGAGGTAGAGGGAGAGGCTGGGCCTTTGAGTCCCAAAGTAAGTGACATTTGTAAAAGGTTGGAAGTTGATTAATGTCCGAAACAGAAACAAAAGGTCAAAGCTCCAGAACGGATGGAGGTCGTCCATGACAGTCCGTGTTATCGATGTTCAATTTGGAATATGACGTGTTGGAAACAGAAGGTAAAATGGGGCAGAACTTGCTATCCCTGCATGGTCCTCAAACTTCTGTGCACTCTCACCGTGAAGAGGGTTCTGAAAGGTGAGAAAGCTCAGAAAACTGACGATGCGGAAAATTCAGGAATGGCCAGGATTGTGGAAACTGAAGTGCTGAATACAGATAGTATGGGCATTGAGCTCCTCAAGGACACCATTGACGTGTTAGTTTTTATCAGGATGGAACTGATGAAAATGCGGGATGCACTGGAGCACCATAATGATATCCAGGAAAAAGGTTTCCATTCATTGACCCAGAATTTCCAGAGGCAAAATGAATTTCTGGAGAAGGTAATGGTTAGCATCAGCATTATCACAGTTTCTGAGAGGTTTTCCAATAAGGCAAGGGAACAGCCAAATGATCTGTTGGCAGAATGTGTCAAGAAAATGTGGGAATCAGGAAAGGGGCCAGAAAGTGAGGATGATGAAGTGCAGGATATGGTAGAAAGTGCAGAGATTGTGGATGATATTGGAGTTGAAGTGGAAGGAGGATTTGGGGTGTCAGAGACTTTGAAGTAGTTGCAAATATATTTTTGACTTGTATGGTTTCAAAATGAGCATGATATTGGAAGTATCAGAAGTATCAGAAACTGAACAGAAAGAAAACGGAAAAAGGTCAGAGTGATGATAAAGGTCCAGGTTTGCTCAGATACAGTGACTCAAAAAACCCTTTGCATGGTTCACCCTTCAGACTTATATCCCTGATAAGTCAAAGAATAAAACTGCAAAAATATCAAAAGTATTTGTGAATATGCTCTATCATATCTAGAATATGGAAGTATGATGCCATTACATAAAATCCAAATATGGAAATATTACAAATATTTATATACAAGAGACTCATGTGAAGGGTTTTTTTGCTGACCACTCTGACCCACAAAACTACTTATATTTAGTACTTAATATAGCCACCCTTTGCCTTCAACACAGCTACAACCCTCCTAGGCATACTCTCAATCAAATTCTGACACACCTCTGCATCAATCTTGTTCCACTCCTCCACCCTCTCCCACAACACCAGTATCCCTTAGCCTCCTCTTTTCATAGTTCCACAAGTGTTCAATGGGGTTGAGGTCTGGAGACTGTGCTGGCCATGGGAGAACATTGAAATCATTATTTTGAAACCAAGTCTGGGCCTTCTTGCAGGTATGTTCAAGGTCATGATCTTGCTGAAAGATGACATCACCCACATATTTTCTATAATAGCTGAAGCTGGCTTGAGGGTCCTTCTCTATAATCTTAAGATAAAGGTCCCCATCCATCCTCTCATCTATCTTGAAAGAATACCCAGGTCCTTCCCACAGCATGTAGCCCATAACATCACAAATCCTTCTCCAAACCTCACAAAAAATCCCTTCCAATAAGTCTCCTATATATAAATATTTGTAGTATTTCCATATTTGGAGCTTATGTAATGGCACTGTATTTACATAATATAGATATGATAGAGCATATTCACAAATATCTTTGATATTTTTGCATTTTTATTCTCTGAGTTATCAGGGATGTAAATCTGAAGTACCAAACATTAAAAGGGTTATTGAGGCATTCCCAACCATATTAAGACTATTGTACACAGTTTGGGTGCAGATGAACTGGTTGGTGACACTCCTAAGAGCTTTGGCCACATCAACAGCAGTGTCAGCCTTCCCAGAGCTGATGAGGTGCTGTGCATAATGAATGTTGGTAGGGGAAAGCTTTGAGGGATGACCACCAATGGACTTAGAGAGATGAGAACAATGCTTAGAGTGAAGCTTAGAGACTGTGAAAATGCTATGACCAGTAAAAGCTGCAATGTGGCTAGCTGAATGGCTAACATCAAGCAATGAGAGGATATGATTCTGGCTGGCAAGAGACAAAGTGTGCATTTTGGGAATTGGAGCATTGCTGGTTGCTAAAGACCATATATTTATACTCCAGTACAACATGGTCATGTGACATCACATGATTTTGTTAATATGACCCAATTGGAGGTAAACAATCAACAAGGTCACATGAGTGTAAGCATTATAGTCATCAAAGTTGCCAGCAAAAAAACCCTTCGCATGAGTCTCTTGTATATAAATATTTGTAATATTTCCATATTTGGAGCTTATGTGTTGGCATCATACCTCCATAATCTAGATATGATAGTACATATTCACAAATATTCTTGATATTTTTGCATTTTTATTCTTTGAGTTATCAGGGATATAAGTCTGAAGGGTGAAACATGCGAAGGGTTTTTTGAGTCACTGTAAGCTGTGTGGAAGTTGGTAACAATTTCCATAGCGTGTCCAAGTTCCATGGCCAATATCCATGAATTTTCCTCATCGGTACCTTCATATCCTGCCCATTTGACTAA